ACCTCTGCAAAGGTTTTCAAAAAATGGTGGTTAGAGTGTGGCACGCTGTATTTTCTTCAAATTGCAAGCCTAGTTTCTAGGGCAACTGCTATAACTAAGAAACAAGGCAACTTTCTACAGCCAAAAATGATCTCGAATTTTGTTTATTTTTCACTGCTTACTATTCCCTCGCTAGCTAATATTCATTTAATACCTTGAGTTTGATCTGCTATATTAAATCGTGTGGTTGCAGCAAGGTTAAGTCTAAACTATATACAGGGTGGGCCAAAATTATGATTACACTGACCTCTCATCCCCGAAAGCGAATAGGAAGCTAAAAAAGCCAAACAACTTCATAAAAGTGTACCACTAATCTCTCATCAAAATAGTACATTGAGACTGGGTTCTGTTGCTTTCTGCTTTCACCCAACCCCAGAGACGACGATGGACGGCATTGACGGTGGCACGCAGCTAAGGTCATCGAGTTGATCCCGGCTTTTTGCAAGGCATTTTCGAGATCACTTCACTTCTTGCTCAGACTAACGGATGCTTTCATCTCAAAGGCTGACCACACTGAGATGCCCATGGGATTTAGGTCAGGGCTCAAGAGTGGTCATTGATCGAAGGTTATGAAGTCAGGGAACCCCTTTTAGGGAATTTCTAGACAATTTCTCGTCTGCTGTCAAGAGCATCAACTTGACAATATGTCCGGTTTGAATCGCCAAAGTGTCCTATTGCACACGGAAAGATCGAACAGGTCTCCAAATCAACTGTCACTCATTATTTTACAAAAATAATCAGTGCTTTTGCCTCAGCGGTGGCGCTCGCAAAGATATCGCAGAAAGTTAGCGAGCCTAGCGCTGCATCACTTCCATTTCTTTCGACTTTACACAAATCTTGTAGCCCTACTTATTGGGCGCCTTTTTCACCTATATCGTTTCGCCGATGAACAGGGATCCCGTACGACAATTTTTTGTATGCGACCGGGCAGCTTTTGTGAGCCAATATTCCTCTTGTTTTAGTCTATTCACTGGGGAAATCACTTTCTGATCGTATAAAGGCCTTGTCGTGCAGAAGATGCTTCACGATTTCGCGCTGAAAACTTCATGAGATATCCATTCATTTAGTCATTTTAAGCCCAGAATGAACTTCGCTGCTACGCAAGACTTCGCCCTGGTTACTTAAAACTCCCGCTAAGTATAAACGCGGCCTCTTAGGTTTACCACTCCTATCTGCAATTGTTCCAAACTCTCGAAAGCGTCTTACAGTCGAATGTGCCCCCTGCCTTGATACGCTGAGTCGTCTGTAGATGCACCGTGCCAAAAGTGCTTGTAAATGCAAAGTGACGATTTATTCACGGGGTAATTACGCTTACATTATTTTCAAAATTTTCCAAAAGTTTAGTATCATCAGGAAGGTAATAATGTAATCTACCTTGTGAAATAGAAGAAAACGAACGAACTCTTCTGTCCTCAGGAAAAAAATTCGCTATGAGCGTCACCGCGCGCTGTAATCATAATTTTGGCCCTCCCTGTACGTGTTTCGATGGTAGTCTTTGATTCACCCCCTCTTTCAGTCTTCGTCGGGGGTCTCAGATAATCGCGGGATAAATGATGGGTTTTTGAATCTCACTGAGAGGTTTCCCTTCAATTTGGCTCATCTCACGGGCACAGATGAAGCTTATAACAAAGAAATTTGAATGTAGTTTTGGGGGGAAGGGCAGCACTCTCTTCCCACGTCGAGCACAGAAGAAGGGTAGCCGAGTTTGCGAACCCATTATGGTACATAGGAACGTTTTGTTGCCGAGAAATAGTAGTTTTTTAAGGTACACACTTGGGAGGGAAGGAGTACCGGGGTGAGTGGGTTAACAGAATGTCAATTTCTTACCCATCATAGGCTTTAACAAGAACCTGGGCATTTGATGTCAAATGCACTTTTCAATGCTGCTATGCAAAGTAGGGTTTTGTGGTAGAGTGTTTCTGTTCTTATAATGGGAAATGAATGAATTTTACGCGAAATAACTATCCCACTGGGAAAGGTCTTTTCAAACTGAACACAACTGCTTCTTTCATCATACTTCTGCATGTTCTTTTTGAAACATTATAGCTATTTGAAGAATGTATCTGAAAATTTGCGCCCGTAGAATCCTTCCTATATGTAGTCCTCAATTATCATGTTCACCCTTTTGCAGCTCTTTTTCAAAATGGCTACAGTCGTTTCCCAAGTTAATGTTAACCAAGAGAAGCCAGTCGATAGAGAGAAGGTACGTCTACCTTCAATTATTTTCATACCTTTTCACAGACCCGCAAGAGTTGCCGATGACATTTAGACGTGCCCGTTACTTCTGCGAGTTTTCTGCGCCAATGGAAGGCATAACCCTATATCCGACTACATGAGGGGAGGAGTCCCAGCAAACGAGCTTCAAATGTACACCTGGTAAGGTTGTTCTGTAAATAAGCGTACTCATCAATGTTGTTAATGTTTTGTTCTGAAGGATGGATTGCACCCTCCGTGAACTGACTTCACTTATCAAGGAAGTCAATCCGGATGCCCGACGACGTGGAACAATTTTCGATTTCTCAATAGGTACTACTACTCCCAACATTCTTTAGACTATCTATTTGTTTTTTACTATTATTTGATGTTAAAGCGTACGGCTACATTTCAGTTGCACCTGATAAGATGAACAATCGCTACACCATACGTGACATTGGCAATACTATGAACGGTCAGAGAGGTGTTGACGATGGTAAATCGGTGAGTTCAGCTTGAACAGTGCACATCATTCGCTGATGATTGATTGCATTCGCCATCGATTGCCGCCCCGAAACTGCCATCTTCCTGCCTTCTCATTGGGAGCCTCTCGGCATGCACTTTGCGTATTATGTAACGACTGCGGTGCTTCATCCATTCATTCGTTACTGAATGAACACCAATCGTTACGAAATAAGTTACCTGAACGTTTGAATTTTCGTGGCTTTAGTTTATACGAGTGAAAAGGAATAGGAATGTACCACTGCCCGTTATGTGCTTTGTAGTGAGACATTCAAGGTGAATAGAAACGAACGGGTCACGTTAGAACAGCTCGGATTTTGACTTTGAGAAAGAACATAGTATGTCTCCTCATCATCTTGCCTTCCTGTCTTGTAAATGTCACTAATTTTCAAATTTTGAATATATGAGAAACAAAACCGCATTTAGAATGTGGTTTCGCAGGGCACAACTATAGTTTCAAAACTTGATACTTATACCCTGATGACGGGGTATACATTCCGTTTTTCTCATAGTTCCGTACAACATCTTCGTATCGATAAGCAGTTCTTTAGCAATTGTTTCATTTCTCTTCTACTTCACCTTCGGTGTCATATGCGAATAATTGATGGTGACATGAGCTCTTCTTGAGTTAATGTGAGTTTTGAAACAGCCACTACTTTAGTTGGCCATGTGCAAGTTCGAAATTGGTGATTTCATCGACGTCGCAATCACGATGCCTGGAGTAGGTCCTGCATCCGTGAGGAGGTACTCTTCTGGTTTTAACAGTAACTTGCAGAGGTCATTAACACTCATACCAACGAACAATTTTAGATATGGATCATTTGGAGGAATGAGGCGCAATGGTGATGATTTCGATCGTGATAGGAGAAGGTTCAGCCCCATTCGAGACAGATATTGAGAAGGGAACGGACTTGTAAGTTAATATATCTCCAAGTGTTTTTTCTTATTCTATGCCCACTTTGTTTCGGTTGAGTTAAGACGTCGTTGATGCTGTGTTGTTGTCACATACTTTAATGTCTTTTATTGCTCGAACATATTGTTCTCAAACACTGGTAAAACTTTTTTCTTGTTTGGACAATGATATGAACAATAAATAAAAACTTGAATAAATCAAATCAGTGGTGAACTTAAGATCAAAACTGGCAATATCGTTAAAATTGACTAACAATACCCGTCTGAAATTTCTGCTCACAAGACAGCCTTATAACAAGAGTAGAAGTTCTACTGCTAATGGTAACAGAAGGCGCGAGAACTCTAATGTTACAACTGTATCATATAGTAGCTACTTCCTAGCTTTAGTAATTTATCTTCCGTCAAGCCAGATTTCCTGGTGCTTAGAAACACAAACACAACAACATATCACAGTAAACGCCTAGATACTAATACAAAACAATAAAAAAATATCACAAGCAGCGGGTCAAGAGCATTTTGAAGGAAAGAAAAAAAAAGCAGGGCGAGGACTGACCCTACTTTTCGGACAACGTAGTAAAATGTATCCTTATCGATTGCTCCCATACTATGACGACGATTCATCTTGGAATTTTCAATGGAAAGAAAAGCTGCTGCATGACTTTTAAATAATTTCAAAACAATCTCATTCTATCTGACTAGTCCTCTCATTAAACTCGCGAAAGTGGTAACTGTGAACTACCATTGTAGCTTCTGAGCAATGTTACCGGTCACACTATGGTAATCAGTGTATAACAGTTTTCTCCAGCCGGGGTTTAACTCATTCCATTCACTAGTAATCCTCCTGAAAAGCAAGTTACAGAGTGAAGTTAAGGAAGGAAAAAAAACTAAAGTGAGTGAGTAAGACTACTTACTGCGTTTCTGAGGTGGCGTCTTCTTGTATCGATGCGAAGTTTTTTTCTACACTACTCAATATCTGTTCCCTTTCTTCCGTTGTTTCACCGCGAATTTGCGCTCCACCATTGCCACAACCTTTCAAAACATTTCTAATTTAGCTGCTATATTACTATTATAATTTATAATGTGCATCAACTACCACAAAAACGTATACTATGCAATTAAAAGAAGTAGGAAAGCACTTACCATTAGGACATGCCTGAACTTCGACATAGTCATATGAGTTTTTGTTGTTTTTCATTTTTCGAACGAGGTTTTGTATATTTCTAAAGCCATAAACTCTAGCTGCTCGTAAAATCACAGAATCGTTGCGATGCACACTGAGGACGTCCAGATTTTTCGCTCTGTAAGCACTGCTTGATATTTTCGCAAGACCATGTTTTTCGGAGTTAGGAAACTTACAGCCGTTCTTCCTTAATTTGCCCGCCATGTTCGGAAACATATCTTCTGACCAACATTTCTGCAAAGCCACCTGATGTTCCGCCAGGGTTCCCGTAGAGAACTCCTTAAGAATACAAGCATATACTAAAGTAACATTGCTTTGGAACATAACTATGTCCAAAATTATCAAAGTAGAAATCAGAAATGTTTGTAAACTCGACTGACCTCGAGAGAAATCGCCCAACCAACCTTCTGCATTGGATTGAGTAATATCACTGACGTCATCGAGTAGGCTGTCAACTTCCACTGAAACCTAATGCTTTATTTACATTCATTGCCGTGATTCATTGGAGTGATTGACTGTATATTTTGAAATTTGTTCTTCCGATATTCCACATGTCGGACACAACTCTCGATCCTACTTTTCTCTATGACTGCTGCAGCTAGTGAAACCTCAACTGTGCACCTGTTCATTTCTAACTTAGCACCTATTGAGAGTGATATACTGACCTGTGCTGATGACACAATCAGTTTCACGCACATCAGTAGTACCAGGTACATGAAAATCAGGACGAGACGCTTCCAGTTTTTTATCGAAGCATGGCATCACCGCAGCATGGTAAATGGATTCTACAGGTACATTGAGAGATCGTGAAAGGTAATCTTTCACGAGGGCGCCAGTGACGGCTTGTGGTGACCTGGTACAGAGTAGATTTAATCAACAAATATTCATGTTCGGATTTATATGAAGGGGTGGCATTTTGGCTCAGCATGCCGTTAGGAAATGATTGAGCTTCAGTTCAAATGGCTTAATTCAGTTGACGTTCAACATTATCATCATATTCTGAGTGTTTATGGATGAGTGCTTCTTCAGAAACTGCTTCTCTAATGTCAATTCCAACTCTAAGCATTAGCATCATTCCATCAGCAAAATAAATAGCTATTTCTTAGACCTTTTGAAAAAAAAGAAGACAGCGTAACTCGTTACCTAACTTTGCTGATAAACGGCAGGAGGAAAGCCTCATGGCTCTTTTCGGCATAACAAACAAATCCTGGGCATGAAGAAACCAGTAGCGGTCGTGTAGATCTCGACTGGAATTCATGATACGCTTCCTCCAGGCAGAGAAACCGTCCAAAGGTGGAGTCTACCACGTAGTGAGCTCCTGAACGAAGGAAAGTTGATTAAGATCACAACGAAAACATAGAACTGACGGATTAGAAGAAAATAAAGAACATACCCTTAGAAAAGAAATACGATGCTATCAGTTGAGCTGCCTGAGAGACTGGTATTTGCCTTTTCACGGCAATCGAACAGACACTTTGAGGGCAAACAGTAATCACAGAAAGTTGCTTACTGGACATCCCCTCGAGCAGTCTTAAAAAAATTACATCGGTTTGTAGCAAATCGACAATTCAGAAGGGTTGATAGAAACCAGGAAAATACTTGAACATGATAAGCTTCCAAGGTTCACAATGAGTAAAATCCCATCTAAAACTCCAGTCTTTTCAACATCCTTTTTTGAAGTAAAAAAGTGAAACCCTATTTTTAAAAGAGACCACCGAAAAAGGTTTTCTGTTACTTCCAACTGCTGGATAATCTAAAAAATACCTTGTTAAGGACTGTTCTTCGACTAGCACTGTCTCCGCACTAGTGATACAACCACTGCATGCGAGACAGTCATTGAGCGATATTTTAACAGCACCCTGAAACCATTAGGAATTCAAAAATGTCTAAAACGCAGACTGTTAGTTTTAGGAGTAATAGCGCATATTCTGCTCGATATCGATACGCATTTTAGAAAGGGATTGATCACGGCAAACAGGCTTCGCTTTCTATTGTTCCTATGAGCATAATCCTATATCATCCATGTGTAACCGAGCTAAACATTGCCAGAAGTGTATGTAAGCCAATATTTAAAGGTTCTCACACCTCTCATAACATTTAATTTCAATTCTGACCCGAACAAGATCCAATTAAAAGATCTAATCCTGAATCATTACCTTCTTGCCCTCACTCTTCGTAGGTTGCTTTTTCCTGACTGCAACTAAAGGCTCCTCAACAACCCTTGTTTCCAACGGGATGATACAATTCTAAACACAACCGATTGACACTTTAACACAAATTGATTTAAAAAGAAAGAATAATAATCTGAGTTTTGAAAAAAAATAGAGCCAGTGAAGACTGTGAGATAATGCAAGATTTTTGTTCCCCATAAATGGTAAAGGACTAGACTTTCGCGATTTGTTGTTCGATTTGAAAGCAATCCACCATTCTTGAGACAAACGTAAGAAGCTACTCACATTTCCAGCTCAGAAGCTTCACCCTTCCAGTTATTTGTCCTAGTACTCAGCATGATAAGCCCCAGTCCGACAGGTTTCCCAGCAAAATCCAAATTTGGACTGCTTCGAGGATTTGTTTACATATGATACTAAGTCTCTCGTTACATACAGCCTTACCGTTTGAAATCTCTTCACATACAACCTTACCCTCTTGAAATTTCAACTGTTTGATCTGTTGTAATGCGCTCCCAGTCTTAAATGACGATGTGATATCGAAACTTAAAAATCCGGAAGTTTCGGATTCTAAGATACCCTCAAAGACGACAACACGGTATCAAGGAGGGATGGAGAACTCGTGGGTTTGAGTTTCACCTGTTTCAAACACTAATGTTTTGCTTTGCCTACTACCTCTACGTAAAGCATCTAGTGTTCAGAAAAACCATTTCAGAGGAACTCTTTGATTCACATCCTACTTTCCACACGGCGCAATTTCTGCTTTTTTCAGATCTCTTGCAATTGATTAGCTTTTCGAATTTCAAAAAGCCAGCACTGAACAAGGAATACTATACAAAACTCTCGAGACTAAGAATAAACGGTGAACTCCCGTAAGTAAGACCTACCGCACTTGGTGCGATGAAATCACTAATATTTGATATCCTGACTGTTCCACTGAATCCTTCTTCCATCTAAGAAATCTTATTTAGTATTATTCAGCGTTTTCACGGAACAATGCAAAAACAAAAATCCAAAGAAAGTATAAGTGACCAATACAGCAAACACAGTAAAGAACACATATAATCTGATTTATACACATATACACCCACAAATAACCAGAGATCATTCTACCCTTCGACGTGAGTGTTTATTAATTGCGTGGCTGCATCCAATAGCGACCTGAAAATTGTGAATAAAAGGATAAAGGATAAAGTTTTTGGCGTTAATCAATCCCGTCTGAGGGATGCGCCCCCGCACTCGACTTCCATTCAGAATCGTAGTGGCGTAATGAGTGCGTATGTGGCCTATACAATGACTTGCGGTGGCCAGCCGATGTACAAGTCAGTGCTTTCATCCTCCCAGACGAGTCTGGTACCAATTCACCGACCCCGAGGGGATGGAAGGCTTGGTTGGCCTAGGCGGGCATCGATCCGGGATTCGAACCCCTGACCGTGCGTGTGATATAGTGCGCCACTTGCCACTACACCACCTCCGCCCGAAAATTGTGAATAAGACCATTAAAAGGAAATAACACCTGTATAAATTGTA